CTTCTCTTTCCGGTGAATTCCTGCCCTGACTCTGGACACCCTGCCTCTCACATCCTTGAGGGTCCTGCCTCCTAGCCCTTCTGCCCCATCTGCCATCTCCTTCCCTGAGCTTGCTCATGTCGCCCTCACCCTCCCTCTGTTTCGGGACCCCTCCTGCTACTACGCCCCCAGCGCCCTCCTCATGGCTGGACTTCTAGAGAAAGGGCTGCTTCCACCTCGCCTCCCCTCGTTCACCGCTCAGCCCACCACAGCTAGCTCCCTTCCCATTGCTCTGCTGAAACAGCTCTTGCCAACATGACCGACAACCTCAGGCCGAGACATCCAATAAGCCCTTGTCTTAAATAAAGCGGCTTTACTGTTGCAACAACAAAGCGTGCATACTGTAAAAAATACAGACACCTGAAAATTGTCTAAAGTTGAACTGGAAGGACTCCTTTCCATCCTTAGATTCACACATACATATCTTGTGTCCATCTTTCCAGACTCCCCCCCCCCGCCCATGCATATACGGACATGTTTTCCTTCCTTTTCCCCCTAAAACAAATGATATTGAACTGGTTATGTCATTCTGCACCTTAACACACTGTCATGGGTGTGCATGTAGACGCACCCTTCAGTGTCTCTTTGGTGACAACATACTAGTCCATGGTGCGGATGTATCATGATCGATCCGATAATTACCTTATGGATGAATATTTAAGTCTTGCTACGAGCATCTTTGATTGCAGATCTTTGGGAACTTGTATGATTGTGTAGCTTAAGTGTAATTTTGCTGGGTCATATCTGTGCACATTTAAATTTTAATAAGGCTGTACCAGTTTATGGTGACTACACTTATTGCGGTGAGCATGGCATAATGTACAGAATTGTCCAGTCACTGTGTTGTATACCTGAAATTAATATAACATTGTGTATCAACTATGCTTCAGTAAAAGACTGTATCAATTTATTCTCCCATTGGTGCTTTAGAAAAGGGCCTGTTACCCTATCTACTCATACTATCTCTCAGTTGTCAATTATGTTAAAATATTTTCTTCCAGTCTGCTGTATGCCTTGTAACTGTATTTACGGTGAAATGGTTATTGTTCAAGTCTCATTTGACCTCTGCAGCATTTAATCCCACTGAGTTCATTCTCTTCTTATTTCTCCTGAACATTAGTCTCATTCTGTGGCTTTAGTACTCCATTCATTCCTCAAATCTGGATGTTCCTTGGGGCTCTGCTTTGGCCCTCTTCTCTCCCTGCCCTCCCCAGGCTAGCCCACCTGCTCCCTTGGCTTCAGCCACCACCCAATAAGTGCCGGGGTCTCCCACACCTTCAGCGCCTGACCTCCCTCCTAAACTTCTCTTTGCAGCTCAGACTCCTCATGCAGCCACCTCTTGAAGTTTCCTTTGAAGTCCCACAGGTGCTGCAAGTTCAGCAGGTAGAAAACCTGTCTCTTGGATTTCCTGCCCCACCCTCCCAGCCCGGCATCTGGCCAACCGGAAACGGCCTGCCCCTTGCACGCCTCTCAAACGGGGCTATCTCTTTAGCATCTCTCTTGATTATCTCCTCCTCACCATCTTTAATGACAGCGTCAGGCAACACTTTATTCTCTCTCGCCTAAACTACTGCAATACGCATGCAAGAGCTGTGGATTCTGGAGCTGTACTGCAGACCTTGGGCAATTTATTCAGTCTCACAGGGCCTCAGTTTCATCATCTGTAAAACGGGGCTAATGAAGCACCTGCTGCATAGTGTTGTCAGGCGGATTAATGTGTCTATATTTAAAGATTTTTTTATTTGAGAGACAGAGAGAGTGTGCGCACGAGCGGTGGGGGAGGGGCAGAGAGAGAGTCTAAATCATCTCTGCCTCAAATCTTTCCCCCCTCAAACCATCCTCCACTCTGCTCCCAGAACAATCTTCCCAAAGTGTGAATTTGATTGAGATTTTTCCTTTTAAAACCCTCTGAGGACCCGCATTGTCCTCGGGTAGAGTCAATCGCCTGACCTGGGCACCTGGTGCCTCTGCATCCCCTTGTGTACCTAACCAGGCTCGTTCCTGGCCCCACCCTCACGACCCCTCAACTACAACCACAGGAAACTCTGCGCAGCTCCCGAAGAGCCGTTTGGTTCCCCCCCGGCATGCATTTCCCTTCCCCTTGGAATGCTCTTCCTTACACTCTTGGTCTGGCCAACTCTCCTTTTTCCTTTAAGATTCAGCCTGGTCATGACCTCCATGGATGCAGCCCTCTCTGTGCTATCCACACCGACCCCGGGGCTTATCTCTATCACGGCTTCAGTCACGGGGTTTGTAATCATCATGTCACTCCCTCCTCCCCACTGTGAGGTTCTTAAAAATAGGGATTTTATATCTTATATATATAATATATAAAAACAGTATATAAATATATGATATATAATATAGAAAAATATATAAGTAATATACATAAGTATGATAAATCTATGATAAAAATCTCTGTATCCCCAAACCAATCACAGTGTTTTTGGCATATCCTGGGTGTTTCATATCATTTTGTTGAGCACTGAATGAGTTGACAAAGTGGGGGAACTGATGTACATTGGAGGATCCAAGTGACATCTTATTTAAAGATATAATTACGTCGCCCAAATTTCCCAGGGCGTCCCCAGCCTGTGAGCACAAGTGAGGTCATGTCAATAGCAGTGACCAAAATTGCACTGGCTTAGACTCTCTGTGCTCATGCAGGGCTTCATCCCCCCACAAGGTTCTCCCAGGAATTTGAGGGAGTCTGTTGGGAGTGTCCCCCAGGGGCTCTTCTGGGTGTTGCTGTGCTAGACTCGCCTCTGGAGTCACTGCTGAAGGACCGGTGTCCTTGCAGCCTATGGTGACCATGGAACCTTCTGCCAGAGGATCCCCAATCTTCTAATGTCTTTGTGGAGCTTTTGCGCTCTTCAGTGGACTTGGTGGGGACTCTCTGGGGGGCAGTGTTGAGTTACAGGCTGGTGGTCAGCATTGTCCTTCCATCCCTTCCAGACAAGGAGAAGGTCAAGTTCCCCCATTCCCGGCCCCTGATTTCCTTTGGATGAGTTCCGGTCCAGGACCAGAACTTGTTGCCTCCTCTTTGAACATAGGCTTCTGCTAGGTCTCTTCACTCCCTCAGTTCTTCAGGAAGGCATGAACTCGACACTGGAGTTCCACTAGAACATGATGTCTTCCACTAGAATAAGAACCTTGCCTTAATAAAAGTTTCTGAGCAAATTGGACCCTCAAGAAGGGACTGCTGCCCCTTAGGGTAGGGGTGATTCTATTGCCCTGATTGCTCCAGAGCCCCAGGCCTGCCCCCCTCCACTCTTTCCATTCCCTGCCCCTCACCTTGTTGCAGCCTTTGCTAAAGAGAAGTTCTCACCGGCTCTCCAGGGCAGGAACTGCTGTTGCAAAACTCTTGCTCCATGCAATGGTAATGGGATGCAACTCTGGGTGGCCCTGACCCCAAGAGGTGGTGCCCAGGCTCTGGCCAGAGCCACAGGGTTGCCCAACCACTGCAGAGGCTCTGGCAGTCCGTGCGAGGCAGAGGGGATGGGGATAATAGCACGCATGCCTGTTTGGGGCCACAAAGTCTGCCCTGGAGCTCAGATAGGACAGCTAATCCCCTTGATATCGAGTGGGGCCCACACTTCTTCTGAAATCGTATTCCCAGAAGCACCACAATTGGCTGCCCAGTGAATGACACAGAATTTACATAAGACTTCTCACGCAGTCAGGGGATATGGTCTTGTATCATGGAGTTACACAAGTCCTCATCAACCCTCTTTATTAAAATGTAGCTGAGTGAGCACTGCATGGAGAGTCACCTGGTCCCAGCCCCTCCCTCCAGGCACTCACAACTTGGGACCGACCAAGTCACCATCACGGTTGGAAGGAAAGGAGAGAGAGAGGCCCAAGCCCCATGTCTGTGCTCTGGGGAGCATCTGGGACCTCCCATACACTGCCGGTGGGAGGGAACAATGCATGACTTCCCTGGGAAACAACTCAGCAGTTTCTTAAAAGTTAAACATATACCTATCCTAGGACCTGGCCATTTCGTTCCTAGGTATTTCCCCAAGAGAAATAAGAGCAAATGTCTGTACAAAGATTTGTACACAGCTGATCATAGGAAATGTATGTGTAACAGCCTCGAATTGGAAACAATCCAAATGTCTGGCAACAGCTGAACATGTAAACAAAACTGTGGTCTCTCCATGCAGTAGAGTTCTTCCCCTTAGCCTTAAATAGGGACTATAGATATGTGCACCAACATGGATGAATCCCAAAATAAGTACGCTGAGTGAAAGAAGGCAGACAATAGAGTGCATACCAGATGATTCCGTTTATATAAAATTCTGGAAAGCTCGAGTCTAGTGGTAGAGAGCAGATAAGTGGTTGCCTTGGGAGGGGGAGGGCGAGGGAGAGATTACAAAGGGCATGAAGAAAAACCCTGGGGATGATGGATGTGTTCATTATTGTGAACATGGTGATGGTTTCATGGGTATATATGAAAGTCAAAACTCATCCAATTGGACAATTTATGCCAAGTGTGTTAAATGTCAAGACCTTAAGAAAGCTGTTAAAAATGAAACACAGCAAAAGCAGACCTTCACAGCCGACTCCAGACAGGACGCTCCCCGAGTGTGGTGAAGGGTGGGCTGGGTGAGGTGGGGGTGTGGAGAAATGTCAGGGCCCCTGCATCTTCTCGGTCCCAGAGGAAGGATGTTCTGAGCCTGGTGGGCCTTTAGGGAGGAGGGTGCCTCGCGCCCTCACCGACAGAAGAAGCCCAGACAGACAGCTGTGAGCTTTCTCAAGCCGCCCCGCTCATGGGTGGGGGGTGCAGGGCTCCAGCCGGTTCTTCCTGCTCTCCACGCTGCGGGATGTGCACACAAGTGCTGTCTGCCTGAGATCATCAAATTCTAAAAGGCAGGACTCGTCAGACCAGAGAGGTGGCAAGGGCGAGGAGAGGGAGCTGATTGATGCGGGAGGGTGTGTGGCCAGTCCGGGTGATCCTGTCAGTTGAATTGAGCTTCGCCCTTCTGGGAGCAAGGTTGGCAGTGGCCCTCTCTCTTCTTGTAATCCACAGAGCAGGCATGGCAAACCTGGCCTCCGCAGAGCCTAGAAGCAGAGGTGGGAAGAGGGGGGGCTCATGGGTGTGTATGGGGGAGGGGAGCACGGGGCTTGAGCATGCACTGTCCCTTCTGTTCCTTATCTCCCAGAAGAGAGGCCCTGGGCCTGTCCAAGGAGGCCTCCCCTTTCCTAAAGGGTGTCTCAATGCCCCACCCCCTCCAGAGTCCTTTAAGTCCAAATGACAGGTTCTCCTGCTGGCCCCCTTTCCTCTCCCCCATGGCTTGTCCTGCCACCCCGTTCCCAGAGGAAGGTGAGGGGAGCAGCTCCCCCCAGACCAGAAGCCTGTCCATCAGTCTCTTCTCGGAAGGATTGCACAGTCCCATCTTCCAGACACTGTTGCTTGTCTGACCCCTTTCCACTGTTCTGGTTCATGTCTACGCTAAGTGTTGTGTAAATTGAGTGGCTGGCTCTAAGTGGCTTTCATAAACCCCCAGTTCCTGTGTCCCTTCCGTCCCAGTGGGGGCAGAGCGCTGTGGGCTGGTGGAAATAGTGCTTGTCCCAGACCAAGACTTCTGTGCCCTCCCCATTACCTGCACGGGTACCGCCGAGACAGCCGGCCAAAGATCTTGCTGCAGTCCGCACAACATCCGGGGGCCAGGGAAGACAGATGCTGGGCTTTCCGCCACAGGTCATCCTTCTCTCTGATGGGTGGACGGGGGTGGGGAGACACCCACAGAGATGGGAAGATGGAGAGACCAAGACGGGGAGGAAGAGAAACACGGAGACCAAGAAGAGAGAGCGAGCGAGAGAGGGTGTGGGTCACCCAGAGACACACACAAAGAAACAAAAAAAAAAAAAAAAAGAGAGAGAGAGAGAGACAGCAAGGCAGAAAGACCGAGGCACAGAAAACAAGAGGGAGACAGAGAAGGACAGAGAGAGACGGTCAGAGAGAAAGGAAGTCAGTGAGTAGGAGAGGGAGACAAAGAGAGACACACAGAGAGGTAGATGGGGAGATAAATGCAGAGAGAGAGAGAGAGAGAGAGACCAAGAGAACAAGATGCAGAGACAGTCAGGGACACACAGAGAGAGGGAGAGACAAATATAGAGAAAGATGGAGAGACAGAAAGAGACACAGTGATAGAGAAAGAAATGAAAAAGACACCCCCCTACACACACACATAAGAGGTGAGGGAGTCTGTAGTCTTTGGGAAGATGGATGGCAACATCTGGGTTCCCCTTGCCCAATATAACCTTCATATCCCACCTCCTCTAAGGAGTGCTCCCTGATTGTAGAAGTCCCCAGCAGTTTCTTATAATGCCCTTAGCTTTTATTTGGCACTTGATAGAAATCCCCTTCTGGTTAAGTAGGCTACACTCCTGCACAACTATCCTCACTGTTTTGTTTTGTTTTGTTTTTTAAAGGATGTTTAGGGAGCACCTGAGTGGATCAGTTGGTTAAGCTCTGACTCTTGGTTTCGGCTTCGGTCATGATCTCAGGGTTTGTGAGATTGAGCCCTGCGTCGATCGCTGAGCCGGGTATGGAGCCTGCTTAAGATTCTGTGTCTCTTTCCCTCTGCCCCTCCCCCTCTGTCTCCTGCTTTAAAAAAAAAAATTTTTTTTTTATCAAAATGATACATACACATGACTTAAAAATCCAACAGTACAGACGTACTTATACCAAAAGGAAATAGACACCCTCCCCACTCCTTCTGATTTCAGTGGCAAAACCACTTCTTAGACTTTGAGCTTTTTCTCCTTGATATTACTTCCACACTTAAGTAATATGCTCATACCCTCTCTTCTTGATCCATCGAGAGAGAACATCTTCTACAGAGCTCCTTACCTTGATGTCAGGGGAGGTAGCTTATTTAGTACCATTCTCACTAACTCTACCTCCTTCCTCCCCAGAATATCCCTATTTTTGGTTCCTCTATTACTCTTGTAGTTTTACAGAATACACTCACACATTTATTTCTCACTCATCCTATGAAGGATAGACAGCATCCCAACTGCCATTCTGTCATATGATGATGCCAGCATCCCTTCCTCTTCAGAGAGCCTCCTTTGCTCACCTCCTACTTACCTTTTCCTGCAACATCCAATATGGTGGCCACTAGTCCCATGTGGCTACTTTAATTTATATTGAATTTGACTAAAATGAACTAAAATTAGAACCTCAGTTCTTCAGTCACACAAGACACATTTGAAGTACTCAGTCGCTACATGTGACTGGTAGCTACCATATTGGACAGGGCAAATAGAGAACATTTCCTTCCTCACAGAAAGTTCTATTGGATGCTATTCTATACTTAATATTGTTTAGGTGATAACATTGACAGTTCTATCATTGCAGTTGTTTTCTGTGCTTGGTCTTTAGGTTGATTCCAACATTAAAAAATCAATAAACAGTATTTACATTATTAGATGATATATAAACATATTTCTTCAAGGAGAGCTTAGATGTGTTCTACACATTTCCTTTCTTGGAAATGTTCTGTTTTTCCAGGACTTTCCAATTGTCTTTTTTTGCTCTGTGCATGACTTGCCCTTAACATAGCCTAAGTATTCTCTCTCCCCAACAAATTCTTCATCATATCAGGTATTTTATTGATTCTCTTCCTCCCCAGAGACTTTTCTCCTGGGTCCTCTATATTTCTGCTACAGCCTGGACTTACTGCTCCCTGGGCTTGCTGTCTGTCCTCTTGTCATCTTGGGAATTCCCTTTTCTTGTCTCCTGGATTACCATGACTGTTTCCTGAATTCTACATCTTCTCCTTTCTTGGCTTACTTCCTTGTTTTTCTGAAGTACATCTTTAATTAATTTCCCAAGAAAGACTGTGTGGGAGGTGCATTTTCTATGACTGGTCTTCCTGAAAAACATCTTTCCTGCATCACCTTCCCTACTTGCTTCATAGTTTGGCTGGACCTAGAATTCTAGGGCAAAAGCTATCTTTCCTAAGAAACTGAAAGTATGACTGCATTGATTATTCTTTTTTTTTTTTTTTTAAGTAGACTTCACACCCAGTGTGGAGCCTAATGCAGGGCTTGAACTCAAGACCCCGAGATCAAGACCTGAGCCAAGGTGAAGAGTTGGATGCTTAACTGACTGAGCCACCCAGGCGCCATTGATCCTTAACATGGCTTTCTGTGTCCTACTTCTTTTATAAGTGACGTGTCTTGAGTATACTGTTCTCATCTTTATTTTACCGAGATTTCACAACGATGTATCTCAATGTGCATTTCCCTTCTTTTTGATTATTGTGCTGGTCACTCTGGGACATCTTTACATCTGAAGACCTGTGACCCTCAGAGCTGGGAAAGTCTCTCATCTTTTTGTCTGATAATCTCCTTGATTTTATTCTCTCCTTCTTGGGAATTCTTGTCAGTTGGAGAAGATAGTGAAACTCCTGGATTGATCCTTTATGTTTGCAATTGTTTCTCTCATGCATTCCATCTCTTTATGCATTTTACTCTACGTTCTGAGAGACTGCCTTCTCTTCCTTTTCCAATCTTTATGAATTTAAAAAAAATTTGATATTTTTAATTTCCAAGAACACTTCTCATCTTTTGATGGTCCCTTACCACAGCATCTTGTTTCATGGGAGACGGATCTTTTTATTTGTTTGTTTATCTTTGTCTCTCCCTTTTATGTTCTAGATTCTTCTCAAACATCTGGAGATCTCTGGTTACTATTTCATGTTTAAGCTGCTGGAGTTTCAAGTACTGGACAGGGACGGTTGGTTGGCTTGTGGCTTCCCTTTAGGATGGACTGGGCAGGGAGCTACCTGCCCCATGGACTGTGAAATGTCAGAACACACTGCTCTTTCATTTGGGGGCATCTAACTTTTTTTTAGAGAAGGACATTTTAATTCTTTGCCTGGGCGATAGATCTCTGGGTTTGATATTCTGCAGTCGGGGAGGCAGGCAGAGAGCAGGGGGTATACACTGCTCTTTCTAATGACTTTATCAGTTAATTTTCCTGATATCTGTCCCTCATCTCATTCCTGCTGTTTGAGGTCCTGGTGTCTCTGGGCCCTGAAATTCTAACTTGGGCTAAATAATCCAGCATCTACTTTTTCATCCATTTTCCGGTTTCTGGAAAGTAGCTGAAATCTCTTCTCTGTGGTTGGCTCTTCCACCTTTCTCTCTATTACAAGTTTTATTTATTTTTGATCATTTAGGATCATTCTAGTGAGATCTCAGGGTGGAAAACAGGTAATGTGTCAGTCCACCATCTTGATGCAGAAGTCAGCCTCTATGGCTCCCCCCGCCCTTTTTGCTTAGGGCCAGATTTTCCATGATGCTTCTGCAAGGAACATTATATTATGTCGTTTGGGATCTTGTGATGAGTTTCTTTAACATGAGGAAAAGCGTTTTTCCCTCCTGATGCACTGGTGTATTTCCTTGGAATGCCTAGTGACACTTAGGCAACTTTCTGTGTTTCCATTTTTGATTCTGCTGCCAAGATGCTCAGAGTTAAATTTTGACCCTAACCCTAATCCTAATACCTTGGGAGTATATATTTTTCCTCTTCCATTTTGCCTATTTTAATTTAACAATCATATATATATCATTTATAACAGTCATATATATATGTATATATGTCTTTTATTGTTGGTTACCTTAAATTCTTTTGTGAGATATACAGCTAATATTTTATATCCTCTTTTCTCCCAGTTGACAGCTCCTTGGAGGAGATCATTCCTTAAATTCTTTGTTTGTTCTTTCCAGGTTGACCTCTGCCTTCTCTCATCTTTAGTATCACTTGGATTTTGTGCCAGAGGATTTAGTCCTAGATGATCCCTCAGCGACCTTCTAATTCTAATGGAACCTGAGTCCAGTGGTGTCCTGCTTCCTGAACTGGGTCAAAGTATAACATTAGCTCCCCACTAGGGCAGAAACCAGGCTTTACACAGCTCCTCCATCCTTCAGTGGCTTAGTGGTTTGGAATCGATCCTGGTGAGCTTAGCCTCTGGAACCTAGGACAACTGCCCCAGGGCGGCCCATAGGCCCAGTGGTCTGTGGAAATCTAGCAGGTAGTCAGGTACAGGACACATGATTAGCTCTTGGTTAACCTCCCCCTTCTCTCAATTCCTTCTCCATCCATGGGTTCCTTTCCTTTCCCCTAACCTTAGTAGGTGTGTATGTATGTGGGGGTGCACTGGAGTGGTGGCGTGCCTTGGAGCCAGAAGACTCTCTGCAATTTATATGCTGTGTGTCCTTGGTGGCCAAGTCAGCCTCTCTGATCCTTAGTTTCCTCATCTATAAGATGACGAGAATGGCGGGGGTGGCCACAAGAAGGAGACGAGTTAGCATACATAAAAGGTTCAGAACCCTATTTGATAGTCTTTAGTGGAGTAGAATTTTCATTCCCCAGTCTCTACATCCCACGCCACTGCCCTTCCGCATCCCTGCCCCACCGCGTCCGCCCTTACTGAATCAGCTCCAGCACCCTCATCTTCATGGCACGGACCAGGTCCCGCTGCCCTCCAAGCTCCTCCTCATACATGGTGTCCCTCCTCTCAGCCTCCTGCTGCTTCTGCTCCAGCTCCGTCTGCAGCCGGGCCCTCTCTTCCTGACACCTGGGCACAGAAGGAGGACTCAGTTCCCGGCATTTGTGCCCGAGCTGGGCCGGGCCTCTGCCTGCCAGGGGGTTCCTGGGGGAAGCTGGTGGTGCTTCCTACAGCTGACGTGCGCACACACCATACATACCACACACGGACACACACACCTACCACACATGCGCTCACACATATACACACATGCTGCACATACACTCCCGCCCCTCACAGCCCGCCATGCCACACATACCACACATACACACACACAGCAACACACACCACACGCACTCACAACACAAACACCATGCCACACAATACATGCCACATAAGTCACAATACACCACACACTCTACACACATCACACACACCATATAACACACATACCACACACTCCATACTGATATCATACCATATACACTTGCGACACATCATATATACACACAACACACTCACAACACCTCACACACACCACACACCATGTGCCACACACACACACCATCCGCACCACACATATACACACAACACACCACACACACCAAACACACACACACACTCACATATACACACATTCTTCACACATTCTTCACACATTCTCCACACCCCCACACCCTGCCAGGCCACACACGCTCACACACACATACAACACCCCGCACCACACACACACCCAATGGAGCACCGGGTACAGCATGACATCTACAGGCTGACTCCTTACCAGCCATTCAGAGGGATGAAAACAGGGTGTAGCCAACATTGCCATTTGCATTTCTTTTCTTTTCTTTTTTTAACATTTCCATTTTAAAATGTAATTTTCTTGAAAGGCATACTCACAATCATGGCAGCTGTCTGGAGGGAAGGGGGGCTGTCTGGGGACCAAGCTGGATGGGCTGTGCCCAGCTGAGAACAATTATCGGTTTGGGGGGGGGGTAGGTGGGGTGGGGTTTGGGGTGATTTTTAGGTTTTAAAATATTTTGAAAAATTACGGCACATTGTCTTTTCAATTAAAGAAGCAATATTAAACATACGGCTTTCTTAAGTTTCAGTTTGGGCTTGGCGTTGCCTCAGCTCTGTTCTGGTCTCTTCATTTTGTCTTCGGTGGCTTCCTAGCAGGTTCCAAGAAATCTGCTGGACTGGAAATAAGAGGGTCCCGGCCCCTCCCCCCATCGCTCAGATGGGAGGGTGTTGCAAAGGCGGGTGCACATCCTGTGACCTCAGATGTGTGTGTGTGTGTGTGTGTGTGTCTGTCTGTGTGTGGCCACACCCCTGGGCTTCAGTGTGTTTGAGGCTTGCAAGAGGCTTCACGGTGAACTGAACTGTGAATTTTTACAACGCTGCTGCATAGCAGGCCTCAGAGAAGAAAGCTGGGTGGGCTGTAAAATCAAACTGACAACAGCTACCCATGGAAATTTCGAAAGACCAGTCAGTCCCTGCAACCCTAAGGAAGGGTGTTCTTGTGCTCAGGGCCACGTTCTGACTTTTAATGAACATTCTGGTCTCCAGTATCCTTCCTTCTTAGGATTGCTGTTTCATTTTCCCGAGCTAGTTTACTTGCGCACTGATCCCAGGGCCTTTGGTGAGGCTGGTGTTGGTCCCTATGTGAGCACCATGGTTACAGTGTGTCTTTGAGGTGGGGAGGGAACATTTATTAAGCACCTACTGTGTACCAGGGGCTGTTGGAGGGGGCAGGAATACAGCAGTGCATATGCCTCCTGGTGGAGCTTAGAGTGTGTCTGGGGCAATGTTCAAAACAAGTAATGGGCCAATAAGATGGTGAAGCCAAGTGTATGACTGGGATGAAGGAGAGGCGGGGGCGGACTCGAGAGGGTGCTTGGCAAAGGCTCCTGAGATGAGGTGACCTTTAAGCAGATCTAAGAGATGAGAAGTCGGCCATGTAGAGCCACGGAAAGGCACATGTGAAGGTCTGCAAGTTGGCAAGAACTTGGTTTGTTTGAGGAACTGAAAGAAGGCAAGGGAAGCTGGAATATCACGAAGGGCAGGAGGTGGGGGATGGGCAAGAGAGGAGGTGGGAAGGAGCAGGGCCTGATCTTGGCCTCGCTGGCCCTGGGAAGGGTGGACTTTAATCTCAGTGCAATGGAAAGACACCCAAGTATTTCAAGCAGGGGCTGACAGACACCTCTGGTGCAAGAGGGGACCTGGAAGGAATTCAAGTCTGTTGAACACCTACTACATGCCAGACCCTGAGCTCAGGGCTTTATAGCCTGGCTCCGTTTTAAATTTTCAGAAATGTATGGTTAGGTAATATGATTGTTATTTTACAGGAAAGAAAATAGAGGAAATCACACTTGCTGAGGGTCACACGGCTTGATAAGTGGAGGGAGCAGAAATCAGGATGCCGGCCTCTCAGGCCATCAACTCTGTCGCCCCACACTTCGGTGGCTCATGGCACCAGTGCTGAGTGGGCAACCAGTGAGAGAAAGGGATAGAACCTTATGAACCCCTGGTGTGCCTCAAAGGATCTCAGGGGGGGACCGGGGGGGGCAATGTGTGATGTTTGCCTAATTCCCCATCTGAGGACCTCTTCCACTCATCCCTGACCTAATCACCTTTGCTTTGAGGTCTTACCCAGGGACAGAGGAAACCCACCTGCTTGGAAGGATGGTCTCACAGAGCATCGGAGCCGGAAGGAGGAACTTTAGAGATCCAACCATCTCCTTTTGCAAATCAGACAACAGAGGCCAGAAAGGGAAGGTCAGTTTCCCAAGGTGCCACGGCCAGAGAGCTGGGAAGTGGGTGTTGGATGTCCTACAGCTCAGTTCCAAGTGTATTTTCTTAGCCCCTGGTTGGTCTGCTGGGGCCTGATGCTTGGCTGGTCTGGTGTCTCCCCTGTGTGTCCAGCCTGGGGCTCTGCACCCAAAGGCTGCATCCCTGTCCATCTTCACTCTATTCTCCACACCACAAACAGAGCAATCTTGAAGGCCTTGGGACCTCCCACTTCCTGCTCAAAACTCTGTTCCAGCCCCACGGGGATTTTGCATTTGCAGGTCCCCCTGCCTGGAGCACTCCTCCCACCATATCTGCAGGGTCCAGTTGTTCCGGTGATTGGGGCTTCTGCTCAACTGTCACCTCCTCAGCGAGGAAGCCCGTGACTCTAAGTCTAGGTGACTCTCTTGTCTCTATCCCCTTTCCTGGACTGATGTTTTCCCACAGCACCCATGACTAGCTGACGTCTCATTTCTATTTGTTGATCTGTCGTCCGTCTCCGCAGGTCCCGGAAAGCAGACACTGCCTGTTCTGTTCATGGCTGTCACCCCGCTCATGGCCACAGTAGAGGCACAATACTATTGTTGGCTGACTCAGTGGGCCCCACGGCACGTCTCTCTGGCGGTGGTGAGACAGCCAATCCCAGCTTGATGCCCATGGCCCCTGGAGTGAGACATTCCTCCTGAGTTCCTTGGATCCCAGGAGGCAGGGGAGCACATCGTCCTCCCAGCCACAGAAGCTTCTGTTCCCACTACCCGCGTTCTGACGGCTCTCCAGCAGATCTGCCTGTGCCTCTCCTCTGAGCTCCACACCCTCCTGTCTGCCCAGCGGCTCCACTTGCCCGTCCAACGGGCATCTCAAACTTAACAGGCTCTCACCCCAGCTCCTGAAATTTCCCCACAAGCCTGCCCTGCCACGGCAGACAGTCAGCTGGGACTCCGGCCTTCCAGCGGGTCAGGGGGAAAAACGGGAGTCATTCTTGACATCTGGTTCTCTCTTGCACCAGGAAGCCCGGCCGCACAGTGGACCCAGAATCCTGCAGCTTCTTTGCACCTCCATTGCCAGAGAGCATTTGGGGACTCCCCCGCGCTCCCCTTCCTCGTCAGCATCCCCACTTCCTTACAGACTAGCTCCAGAGAGCAGTGGCCTCGAGCCCTCGAAAGCACAGATCAGTCCGGATTAGCCACGTCTACGGGGACGGATGAGCGCTTGCCTAGGGCTGGGAGGTTGGGAGAAAATGGGCAGTGACTGCTAATGGTACAGGGTCTCCTCTTTGGGGTGACGAAAATGTCTGATCGAGGCACAATTTTATGAATACACAAAAACCTACTGTATTGTTAAAAAAAAAAAAGCGAACATACTTAACATTAAAGCAAACAGTTGCATCTTGTCCCTCCTCTGCTCAGGACTGTCAGTGGTTCGTATCTCACTCTGAGTCAAAGCCAAGGTCCTTTTGATGACCTGCAAGGGTCTCCTGTTACCCGACTGACCTGCCCTTACCTCCTCTCCCTCCTCACTCCACTGGGCCTCAGGGATATTCCTGGGACCTGCCACGCCCATTCCCACCACCTGGCCCTGGCCCTTGCTGTTCCTCTGCCTGGATCATTCTTCGACCACATACCCAAATGGCTTACTTCTCACTTCCTTCAGGTCTTCACTCAAGCATCACTTTTTCAGGGAGGCCCTCCCTGGCTGTGCCGCCATATTTAAACCCAGCCCTTGACACCCCCAACCCCTTTTCCTGCTCGACTTTTTTTTTCTTAGGACTTGTCACATCTGACACTATGCAATTAACTTGCTTGTCGCGTTTACCGATTGCCTCCCCCACTAGAAGGGAAGCTCCACAGGGACAGGGGTTTGGTCTGTGTTGTCCACAAGAGGATTTGCGGCACGTACCACAGGGCGGGCACAGAGAAGGTGAGCTGAGAGTCTGTGGGATGCTGGATGGGATGACAGGCCGCAGGGTGGTGGTCTGTGACACAGGGGCTCCCCCAGCCGAGGGAGCAGTCTGGGCCTGGTGGTCTCCTTGGATCCTCCCAGCTGCTCCCTCCAGGCCATCTTGATTCCCAGAGAAGGCCCCTGGGTGGGCAGGGCCTTGCGTTCACCTAGGGCCGGGATCACGGGAATCTTTCCTGACCAAACTTTCCTGACCGAACTGCCTAGGGATTTTTCCCGAGCGTCTGGTGGGAGGAGCCCGGGGGGACCTTTTTGGGTTGGTTTCTGGGCCCACAGCCTCTCTCAGCCTTTTAAGCAGAGAGTCTGTCAACTGCCCAGTGATTCAGTCTGAAGCACAGCTACCCAGGCTCTGATGCGGGCGGGTTGGGGTGTCCCGGGGCGGGTGTCAGCCACGTGCAAGGGACAGAGCCAGCAGGGCAGACGAGGCACACAGCAACCACGGGAGACAGACCCGGAGGGACCGAGTCAGACAAAGCAAGACCTTTGCATGGCAGAGATATTTCAAAGATTCTGAAAGAGAAACTCAGACCCTGAGAGAGTGTGCTCCAGGCTCTCGAGGTTAGAGTGATGCCGGGAAGTCGAAGAAGCTGGATGGTGAGGGGGGCTGAGCGGGAGAAACGGGGGGACTGAAATAATACGGGCACTCAAAATCTTGCCTGGGGCCCGTGTGGAAGCCCACCGGTCCTGGAGTCAGCTGCTGCGGTGCAGACCTCAGCTCTCTGCTAACTAGTGACATTGGGTGAATTGTGTGGCACCTTGGAGACTCAGTTTCCCTATCTATAAAATGGGGATTCTTAGAGGACCTACCTCATAGTTTGGTTAGGAGGAAACGCCTAGAACAGTAAATGCTCCGTACGTGATAGTTATAATGATGATTGTGATTTGAGAGGGTGAAAAAGAGGCTGTAACAGGGAGCAGGAAAATGAGAGACAAATGAATGGGGGAAAGATGGAGGACGAAGGGCAGGCGTGTGGAGGGGCAGGGAGGGAGCCTGGCCTGAAAAGAGAGGGGAGCAGCCGCAGAGGGGCAGAGGTGAGTGTGGGAGGGTCAGGAGGGTCAGGAGGCATCCGCCTCTCCTGGAGGCTCTCAGGGAGGCCAGTGAGGGGGGGCTGGCAGGGGGTGGGGGTCCGTGGGAACTGCTTGAGGAGCCCCAGGAATAATGCCCTGCATGCCGCAGCATGCCCAAGTTGTGTCCAGCATGGGAGGCACTCAGAAGACACTTACTGGTGTGACCATGAAGGGGTGAGCAGGAGCCTCCAGTCCTGCCGGACTCCCTGCCAGGCCTGTTTGTGCAGGGGTGGTGGGGGGTGGTGGGGGGTGGCCAAGGTTACCTGCTGAGCTGCTCCTGCAGTGTCTTCAGCTCCCCTTCCTGCTCCTTCAGCAGCTGCTCCTGGTACTGGGCCTGCTCCTTGGTCTTCCAGAGCTCATGTCTCAGGCTCTTGGGGGTGGGAGGTAAAGGAAGGGAAAGGGAAGCTGAGGGAGGAGGGCAGAGATCCCAGCTCCAGGTCTGACCTGACAAACATCCCCGTGAGACCCCAGGCCAAGTGAGACAGCCCTTAGGTGGAGCGCAGGACTGGGGATAGCCCTGGGAGCTGAGAGGCCAGGCTCTGCCCCTGGGTGAGCCTGGGGCCACCATTTCTTCCTTTGCTGAAGGATGAAAGTGACAGAGCTCAAGGGGCACGAAGACTGTGGCTAGAGAGGAGGCTGAAGGAAAGCTTGAAATCAATCTTGTGATCTCCAGGAGAAGCATCTACAACAAAGGCAGCTAGGTGGCTGCCCCGAAGAGCTGTTGGGGAGGGGTCTCAGACTCAAGTGCCCTCAGGGGCCAGGCAGGTAGGACTGATGAATGAAGTGGGCCTGGCGTGAGGCTACGGTAAGAAGACCCCCTCGAAGAATAATCATACTGTGCAGACCAATCAGAATTGATCTGTGGGGGGGGCGCCTGGGTGGCTCAGTCAGTTAAGCGTCTGCCCTCGGCTCAGGTCATGATCCCGGAGTCCTGGGATCGAGTCCCACATCGGGGTCCTTGCTCTGCGGGGAACCTGCTTCTCCCTCTCCTCCCCACTTGTGTTCTCTCTCACTATCTCTGTCTCTGTCTCTCTCTCAAATAAATAAATAAAATCTAAAAAGAAAATTAAAAAAAAAAAAGAATTGATCTGTGGGCTGCAATGTCCCCCCCCATCACCACCGAAGAGTCCCACCTGTGGGCCAGGTTAGAGAGGGAGAAGAGGCAGGTACAGTGCTCAGCTGCTCTCACCTTGACCACATCCTGCAAGGCCACCTCTGCCGGCTCCTTCCTCCTGGTCACCCTGGTCACTCCTCTTTCCTCTTGTGGTCTCTCTGGGGTGGAGTCTTCCTTTGTTCCTAGGTCCCGTAGGACCCAGGGCTCTGCCCGAATGCAAGGCACCTCCCACTCCTGCAGGCTCCCTGACATCGTGTCCTCTATTGTCCTTTTGGGGCTGGAGGCCGGCAGCCTGTGGACATGACCCCACTCTGCTCCTGCTTTGTGAGTCTCCTCTGCACCCGGCAGAACCCCTCTGCCCTCAGCCTCTGTCCCTATGACCTCCTTCGGAGCTCCGTCGGCCCACTCCCCCTGTCCCCGGCTGCTGGGTGAGTTCTCCAGGCAGATCTCAGTTCTTGGGGCTCCCTTCTCCTGGGCTTGCTGAAGCTCCTCCCCCTCTGGTTCCCACATGCTCTGGGGGGGCCCGAGCCTCCTGGGATCTTCTCTCTTCTTTTCCACGAAGGGATGAAGATGCCTGTGTTGCTGGGACGTGGGGAGTCCAGCTAACCCGTCTTCCCTGGGCTCATCTCGCAGATAGCCGGCTTGGCTAGTGTGCGGCTCCTCTGGCTGGACTCCTGCGGGGTCTCCGTGTGGTGCTGAGATCTGCAGAGAAGCCCCCGAAGCCACTCTCGGCACCAATTCGCCGACTGGGTGCATAGGAGAGGCCACAGACCTAAACCAAGGAACTGGCTAACTCTAAGGGCATGTTGATTCAGGAGATCTGGGACAGGACCCAGGAACCGGGAACCTACCATCACCCCAGGTGGATCCGGGGCCCAAGCTTCAGTCTGGTCAGGGAGCTGAGGTGCCTCTCAGTGTTCTTTCCTCTCCTCCCTCCCTCCTTCACCTGCGCCTTCCATCTGGCTTCCGCTAAGTTCTTCCCACTCTCTCCTCTTCTCCGTCCTGCCCCTGAACTTCTCTGTGTTTCAGTTTTCTCGTCTGTGAATTGGGAATAATAACCCCTACCTCGTAGGGTTGTGGTGAAAGCTTAGACAGACCCCCAGCAGCAAAGAGTCACCTCTCTCAAGCAGCCTTCTCTGTGCTCCCATGTTCTGTGCATGTCTGCATCACCGCCCTTAACAGGTTGTATTGCAACGGGTTCCCCCTTCTGGTCAGAGGCTGAATCCTCATGGTATCTGGACCTGGTGCCCGGAAGCTGAGGGGGTGCAAAGCAAGACTGGGGAACGGCAATAGCCACAGGCTGTCCCTTCCTGAGCATTTGGCTAGGGGCCTTGCTCTGTGCTACACGCGGTCTGTCTCAATGCATCCTCACAATCACCTTCGAGGCCAGACAAGTACCTTGCCAAGGACCTTGGTGATTAGGGGCAGAGCTGGGATTTGAACCCAGAAACCTGGCTCTTCAGTTGCTCCCTGAACTGCACTGAGACATTTGCACGTTGTCCAACGGAGGCTGTTTCCCTGGTGTGCATCCTACGTGCTTCTGGGTACCCACCCCACCGCCTCCCCGACCCCTGGGCCCCTGGGTCCCGTGGATGGTGCTAACGGTCCCCTTCTCTCCCTGATATGTCTGTCTGTCTGCTTGGTTACTGCTCATCCTGGGGGGCCCAACAGAGATGGAGAGGAGGCAACTTGGAGTGAAGTTGGGCAGAGGCACCTGCTTTGGGGAATCTTTGGTCTTTCTGGGTCTTCTTCCCTGGGTCCGACTGGCACTGGAGTAATGGGACCTGCAGTGAAAGGGCAAGGGGGTCTGGGGGCCTCTTTCTGGCAGCGGTCCAACCACCCATTGACCACACTATCCCTCCCACCTTCCCATTCTCACAGATGAACCCCCCCACCCATGCCCACACCCCGCCCACCACTCCTCCTGACATCCACCATGGGGTTCATCCTTCTGACCCTCCAGCCCAAGCATCCAGCAACTCCTTATGAGTGAGTACTGCACGCAGCCTCGCGAAACATGATGGGATTACACCGGGAAAACAGAAGGCTGAGGAGGGTGGGGGATCAGGGGCTCAGACAGCAAGAAGGGGAGGTGGACCGATGGGGCTCAGGCTGAGTTTGGAGCTTGCAGGGGGTGGTGGGGGTAAGGCACTGGAAAGAGGGGCTTCCCTCCACGCGGGACACACTCACTCTGAGAACATGGGCCAGGCTTCATCTAGGTTTGGCCACTGCAGGTCCAGGTCGAAGGCCACCCCATTGAGAGTGTAGAGAGAGTCCAGGAGGTCTTCCTTGAGTTTGGGGCACACCAGAGGGCTCTGGGGGCCATACCATTTCCTGTGGTAATGGTGATCAGCAGCCTTGGCCTTTGACCTTGGTGTTATTGCTGCCCCCCCAGCCCACCCCGCCTGAGAATCTGCCTCTGCTGTACACCACATGGCATGGTTCCCACGGCAGGGTTTTGGCCCCTGGGGGGCAGGAGGCTTAAGCATCGTGGTGCTACTGGGCTCCTGTGTTCTGATCCCCCCCCTTTGCCCTTTCTTCCTTGACTTTTCTTTCATGGCTGTCATTTTAGTTGTCCCTGATATTAACCCATCCATGGGGGGCGGGGAAGAGGCATGTTTCACAAGGGAGGGACAGTGGGCTCAGGGGGAGTCAGAAGGAGCATGTGCAGACAGCCCCACCTGGTGAGCTCTGGGTTCAGGAGGCAGAGCTGCAGGGACTCGGCCAGCTGTCCGTGGGCTAGGCAGAAGCGGATGAAGGCACGGCCTTTCGCCAGAGGAGTCCTCAACTGCAGAGCGCACAGCGGGTGAACAGTGGTGGGGGGCGGGCAGGGGCGGGCAGGGGCGGCCGGGTGCTATTAGGACAGAGGGAACTCAGCCAGCACAGGGAGACAAGATGGGAACTTGTATTGTCATGGGAGCAAAGGGGTGGCCAGAGGGATGCTGAGGGCAGGGCTAACGAGACAGGAGGACCAGGGCAGTGGAGCAGGATGAGTGGGAAAGGGGCCCCTGGAGACCTTTGCCGTCAAGGGCCTGGTGGCAGGGCCCCCTTGTGCTGAGACCAGCCACCCTGCCCCCTGGCCCTGGATACCTTGTCGTGTGCGTGGACGAAGCGGGCCGGCTCCGTGCTACCCCGCTGCAGCCACAGGGCGGCGCCAAGGAAGTCCCAGTAATCCTTCCGAGGCCTCAGGAAGCTCTTCTGCTCTTTCTGGTCAAACTGGGAGCGGGATGAAGGACAGGAAAGCATAGAAACGTTTCCTCCCAGCAGCCACCTTGCATTCCAGCACGCTGAGAGAGGAAAGGGCTACTGTAGACAGACCTGGCTCTGCCCTTACTGGCTGTGTGACCATGAGCAAGGTGCTGGACCTCTCTGAGCCTTTGGTATTCTATTCATGCATTCCAGTAACACTTGTTGAACATTTACTTTCTGCCAGGCCTTGTTCTGCGCCCTGGGAATTCAGCAATGAATAAATTGACCGCATGGGCTTACACTTGGTAGTGGAGACAGACAATGAACAAACTGAGTAAGTAAAACGTATATTATGTTAGTGCTGACTGCTAAGGAGAAAAATAAAGCAGGGAAAGAGAACAGAAAGTACATGGTGTGTGCACACATGTATGTATGTGATGTGTGTGAGTGTGTGGTATGTATGCCTGCGTGTGTGTGATTTAGGGTGTGTGTGTGTGTGTGTGTGTTAAGAATTTGGATTTGAGGGGCGCCTGGGTGGCTCAGTCAGTTAAGCATCTGTCTTCCACTCAGGTCATGATCCCGGGGTCCGGGGATCGAGCCCCGAGTTGGGCTCCTTGCTCAGCTCTCCCCTCTCCCTCTGCCACTACTCCCCTGCTTGTGCTCCCCTGTTTGTGCTCTTCTCGCTCAAACAAACAAATAAATAAATAAATAATCTTCAAAAAATTTGGATTAGAGTGGCTAGAGAGAGCCTCACTGAGGAGATACTACTCAAGTCCAGATCTGAAGGAAATGAAAAATTGTGCCATCCAAATTTCTGAGGGAGGAGCAGTCCAGGCAGAGGGAATAGCAAGTGCAAAGGCCCTGAGGTAGGTGCATTCCTGGTGTGCTTTAGGAAAATCAAGGAGGCCAGTGTGGCTGGAGTGCAGCAGATGAGGGGTAGACCGGCAGAAGATTCACATGTGCACCCAACAAACCTCACACATGCACACATGTACACTCCCACCACACATGTGCATCACACACAGAGATCTAGGAAGGCTCTGTGTGTGTATGTGGGGGTGGTAGGGTCATCAAGCACCGAAGGGGGGTTAGAATCAGGATTTAATGAGGTGGGGCATAAGAAGGGCTTAGCTTGGCCCGTGGTAAGTGCTCAACAAAAGGGCCAGCAGCAGGAAGGCTCAGCCCTGGGACATCTTGCCTCTGAAACTTCAGTCCTCAGAGCAGGGTGGCCGCCCTGCCCCACCCCTCCCCACCGGGCCCCACCTCACTTCCTAGGCTGTGGTGTCAATCCCCAAGAGTAAGGTCGGATGTCAGGAAGGGCTTGCTGACCCTGAGGGGGCTGAGGCGGTCGCTCTTCCTCCGTATCTGGGAAAACCCTCCTGGCTCTCTGGGCATGAGGGAGGGGTGGTGGGAGGAGGGCAGAGAGGGGGTCACCTGCAGGAGCAGCTCCAGGCAGCCACAGAGTCTGTGTAGCTCAGCACTGGCATCCGTCACTGGCTGCTGCCGGCCCCCGTAGCCCTGGAGGATGGCCGAGACAGCGGCTGGGGGTGGGGGGAGGATGGTGGACATCAGGCGTCAGGTGGTGAGGGCTCTGAGGGAGGGGCTCCCAAAACCCCTCACTTCTCCCCCAACTCGATCCCAGAAAACCCCTCGGGACTCACTCACCTTTCAAGTTCCTGGTGAGGATGACCCTCTCCTCTGCCATGAGTATTTCAAAATGATGTGATTCCTCGTGGCTCTGGAAGGTCAACCCAGGAAGGAGCCCCTTCCTGGATGGCTCCTTATCCGAAGGAAGAATCAGAGCCCAGGGCAGGAATGTGATCTATCTGGAGTCACACAGTGAGTTCACAGGTAGGATAAACACCCCAGCTCTTCCTCGCAGGCCAGCGTGGGAAGGTGAGAGTGTAGCCCCCACTAACAGAGTGGTCCTGGGTGCTAGGTGCTATGCTCCGTGCCTGACATCCTTGTCTCATTCAGTCCCCATAATAATCTAGGAGGTCATTAACTCCATTTGATACAAGGCGAAAGGGGGGCTCAGACAGACAGATAAGTCTTTTTATCTAACGCCACAAAGCGCTAAGCGGAGAAGCTAGAGTTCGAACTCAGGTCTGTGTGGCCTCACACAGGGCAACCTGACATGAGCCACCCTGTTAATGCTCCCGCCATGAGGACGCTGGGTTGAGGGAAAGTCACCTCTCTCCCCCACAGGGAGCCTCACCAGAGCAGTCATCATCCTTAAGGCACACATTCATCCTTTCCTGGCCCCCAGCTGAATGGAAAATGTGTGTTCTTTGAGGAAAGGGAGGCAGAAGTAAAATGAGGCCCTAGAGCTGGGACCGGGCCAGAATGCTGGGTGTGTGTGGGGAGCAGGGCACCTGGTTTTAATCCTGTGGTTCTCTCCCTGGGAACTGCAGCATGCAGAGAGGAATACTGTGGCCGCTGGGGGCCGGTGGCTTATCCTGATGTAACCTGGAGTAAAGACCAGGCATGGGAAACCCACATGCCCTGCCTCCCAGGGCGGAGTTGCTAGAATTTCTGGGGTGGGTGGGAGTGAAGAAGCAGGGGACACCGTGGAGGGGGAGGGAGAGAGAAAAGACGGTAAATGAGGGAGGGTGTGTGGGGATGGCGTTCAGGAGACACTGAGCTGGGAGTTAAGAGACCTGGGTCTCCATCCTGGCCCTGCTACTAACTCATTGTGTGACCTTTTGCTTTTCCTCAGCCTCAGTTTCCCCATCTGTAGACCAAGGGGCGGACTGAGGGTCTCTGTTTCCACTTCCGGTCCAGATGTTCTGTAAAATCCATGAATACCTAGATGTACCTCCCCAGCTCCCTCTTTTCTGTCCAGGAGCCTCTGCCCCCCGCTCCTGGAATTGCCCCCTTTCTCCAGCCTCCCCCAGACCCCGTCCCTGCTACTCACCTGGGAAGGCCTGGAGAGCTGGGCACTGCAGCCTGAGCCTGTCACTTGTCACTGTGGGTCCTGCGCAGCCTTCCCCAGGGTGCCGCCTGGGAAGTGACTCAGGCCCAGTCCAGCACCCTGGAGGGGGAAACCCTGCTCAGAGCAGGAGGAGCACAGAACTGGGTGGGTGGGGGAAGAAGTGGGAGAGGCAGGGTCCAGGGTGCCAGGGCAGAATGGGTGAGCTGGGGGATGGTACCCTTCGGGCAGAACCAGGGGAAGAGCCAGTTGTTGGCCAAACACCAACTCACCCCAGTGATGGCAGCAATTGCCCCTCTGCAAGTTTCCTTCCCCTTCTCATCAGGGTGACTAGCTCTTTTTTTTTAAATTAATTAATTAATTTATTTATTTGAAAGAGAGAGAGAATGAGAGAGAGAGAAAGCACATGAGACGGGGGAGGGTCAGAGGGCGAAGCAGACTCCCCACAGAGCAGGGAGCCCGAATCTGGGACTCGATCCCGGGAGTCCGGGATCATGACCTGAGCTGAAGGCAGTCGCTTAACCAACTGAGCCACCCAGGCGCCCCTGGGGTCACTAGCTCTTGTCTTTCTCCCTCGTCCCCACCAGGTGGCACAGAGAGGCTGTGACTGCTGCTTCTCCAGACTCTGCCTGGGTTCTGTCTCTCGGTGGAAGCGTGGTGCACGTGGGGAGTGCCCCCCTCCCCCCTGTATCTCCCTCTTCCTCCTGGTCCCCAGTGTCATCCTGCCCACCCCGGCACCCCCCGCTAAAAGAATGGAAGTGAAACCACCGTGAACGCTTGGATCCAGGACCGGGCCGGCTGGGTGGCCCCGCGAGGTCGTGGCCCTCCCACCCTGCCTGTGCTCGGCCTCCTTGAGACTGGGGTCTTTCCACCTCCCGGTCCTCGTTTTTCCAGGCTGGGGTGCCCGACGGCGGGTACTGGGGGCAGTGAACAGAGGAGCAGGCACCTGCGCAGACGACGGTTCCCCAGACCTCAGCAACCGCATGTAAACAGTGGCACACGCGGTGACCGAGCCCGGCTCTGCCCTCCCGCCGCCACTCCTGCCCGTCTCTCCCTCTCTGGGACTTGGTCTCCCCGCGCAGAGGCTCCGTGCCCCTCTCGGTCCCCCGGGTCCCCGCGTCCACGCGTCCGCAGTCTCTCTCTCGCTCTGTCTCCTATCTGCCCAGCCGTCGGGCTTTTTCTCGCCCTCCCAGACTCGGCCGGTCGCCGCCGGGGCCCCTCACCCCCGCCGCCGCCCCTCCCCGCGCCCCCGGGACTCTCTCCGCCCCCGGCTGCGCCCTGGCGCCCGCGTCGCCGCCCCTCGCCCGGCCCGCACTCCCTGGCTGGCTGGCGGCGCGGGGCCAGAGCGCTCCGGGCGGGGGCGCGCCGGGGGCGTCGCCGCCCGCCCCCCCCGACTTGCGAGGCGCCCCCGGGCCGTGCGCTGGCCAGGGCGGGCCGGCTCCCCCCCTCCTCCCGCTACCCGCCCCGCGCCCGCGCCCGCGTCCCCGCCCCCGGCCCCGGCCCGCCGGGCGCCCGGCGGGATGGGCTGCACCGTGAGCCTGGTGTGCTGCGAGGCGCTGGAGCCCGGGCCCCCCTGCGGCCCCCAACCCCCGGGGAGCCCCCCGGCCCCGGCGCGGGCCGAGCGCTGGGAGCCCGGGGCTTCCGCCGGCGCCGAGAGCGGGCGGCTGCCGCTTCAGGTAGGGGGCGGGGGGGGTGGGGAGCGGGTGGCGGTGGCGGGCCGAGCCCGGCTCACCTGGGACAGGTAGGGAGCCAGGCCGGGGCAGCGCCTGTCAGCCCGCAGTCGGGGCCCCGGTGGCGGGGTGGGGCGCGGGTCGGGCCGGCCCCAGGTGAAGGGGCCGAGAGCTGGGCCGAGGTCTCTCCTGGGTCTCTTGTGTCCGTGGGAGGAGGCGGATTTAACCTGACGCTTAAAAGGGCAAATGGTTCAGGCGAGGTGTAGGAGCCACCCAAGTTGGGCAGGGCTGGGAGCTCTGGGGAAAGGCACTGAAAGAATTTATACCCCTGAGCTGGTCCAGAGTTGACTGTGTGTCCCAGGGTAGCAGTGGCGGTGGTCGCCCACCTCTGTAGGCAGGAGGGAGGGCGCCTTCTGGACCAGGAAGGCCATAGCAGAGCAAGGGCTGACCTGAAGATGATCTGGGCAGCTGGACCGTCCCCCCCACGTTCTCGTTTTCAGTAAGTCTTGGCATCTTGCAAGTGGGCAGCTGACCCAGAGGGTTGGGGATAGGCCTGTGCTGGGAGGCAGGTGTTTGTTCTGCATGAGGCGTCTGTCAGGGCACCACTAGGTGTGGGTACTAGATTTCTCCAAGGAGGAAGTGGAGGACAGGGTGACATTTGGGGTCACTAGGTAGGACTAGATAACCTTGCTCTAGGCTACCTGCTTTATCCCAACCTACCTCCCTGTCTGGGGGCTGGGAAGTTTCCAGCCTCCTCAGATTTGTTTGCTGTGCCGGGTTTGGATTATGCTGGTGTCTTACATCCCTCCACCTGGAGCACACAGGGTTCGGGCAACTCAAAATGTACCATGTGGCTGTATCCCAGCCCTTCTTCCCCACACTGGGGCAGCCCGTGAAGCCAGGGGTGTGTGTGTGTGTGCCCGCACGTGCTGGTGACCCCTCTGCCTCACTTGACCAGATGTTCCTCCAAGGCAGGATGGGAGCGTATTCGTGGTTATACACAGTGCCAGGCATGAGGCTACATTTACCAACTGAACTCTCTGTCCTTCCTGAGCTCTAGCCCTGGTCATCATTGTGATGACTGATCGCGGGGAGGAATAGGCTTGGTGGGGTGTAGTAGTTGTCTTAGACCTTGTAGTGGTGGCCCAGGGGGGATTCTGATGGGAGCCTGAGCTAGCTTAGTGCACCGCGGTAGGGTGAGGCCTTGGGGTGTCAGCTGGGCATCTCAGACTATTGCTTCTTAGTCCTGGCACAGGGGCAGAGGGTCTGGAGAGTGAAAGTGACCTGGCCCAACCTCTAACAGTCAGGCCCTTCCAGAGGTCATCAGGGCTTCTCCGCCTCAGAGCCTCATGAACCCTCCTCTGTCCTTGGAGGTTTCAGGCGGAAGTGAGTTCACAGGGTCCCTCCCTCATCTGTTCCTATCTCAGACCCTTCTTAACTTCACTTTCTCTGTCTTCCTACCTTCTGCACTCGAGATGCAGGCAGCTGGGGGCGGGGGGCCAGGAGGGCCACCTGAGGGTGGGAAGGGACAGGGACAGGCAGTCGGGGCTGAGATGGAGGAAGAAGCCAGGGGCAGTGGAGGTGGGTGATCAAGGAGAAGGGAGAAGGGGGGGTGGTGAGGAGTGAGTGTGTGGGTGTGTGACAGCCACAGGGACAGGGATGGGGACAAGTGTCTGTCTGCATTCGGATGAGCTGGTTTCTGAGCAGCCTCTTGAGAGTGCCTGGCGCTCGCCCATGACTCACCCCCTCCTTCATCTGCAGGATGAAACTCCATCCCAGCCCCAGCCCTTGCCCACGGCTCCCCTGGCCCTGGTTCCGGGGGGGGGGGAAGCTGTCGCTGGCTGCTTTCTCCCCTCGCCAGGTCCCCCTGCCCCCATTTATCCTGCAACTCTCAGGAGACCCGTGACCCAGGAAAGAACAGCCGGGAGGCCTATCACTTCACTGGAGGAGGCGTTTACCGCGTTCTTGTGGCGGATAAACATCTCTTGGGCTCTCAGCTCCCCTCAGGAGTCAGGGCTTAGAAGTTACTCTGGCATCTGGGCTCCTAGCCAGAGCCCTCCCACTGACAGTGCTGCCACTGACATGCCATCATCACGGACCGTGTTCCCCCGTCGTCCTCCAATAGGTACGCTAAGCCTCTCTCCTTGGGCCGCGGGCTCGTATCACCTCCTCCACCTGCAGCCTGCTCTCCCCCTCTCCCCTTGGGGCGGCCCCCTCCCACCCAGGCCACTTTCCCTCTTCCCCCTGCGTGCTGCCCCCAGCCAGGTCCCGAAGCAGACTGTCCTCTGCTCAGACCACACTGCCTTCCCTCTGGTGGCCTGCTCTGTCCTCCCAGCCCCTGCTGCCCACACTGCTCTCCTCCTCCGTCCAAGACTTGTGGCCTGCTCCTCCTCTTTGCTCTGGGGAGTCCTGTCCACTCTGCTTCCCAGGCCTCAGAACCCCAGCTCTGGATTTTGGGGGCCTGGACGTATAGGCCCTTCACCCCTCAGGTGGCCTCCTCAGGGTCCCATGATAGCCCTATGTCCTAAGCTCTCCTTTGGTTCCACATGTCAGCCTGCCAACCTCGGGAGAAGGGAAGGTGGGGTTTGGCAGCCCTCCTGAGCATTCCCGCCAAGCCTTCTCTGACCTGGGTGCCAAGGGGCCTGGGGGGCATCTCCAGTGCCAGCCCCGCCTCCTTGCTTTCTGCCGTATCCCAAGACAAGTGGGTGCTTGTCCGATGGTGGCAGGAGCCGAGAGGAGGAGAGTCTGGGTTGCTTCTGGCCCCTCTCTTGAAAAACCAGCCCCCCAGGTCAGTTGGTGTGGCTTCTGCCCAATCACCTAGAGCCCTGTTGAGTTTGGGAGTTCCCCAGGAGGCCAGGTCCTGCAGCCTCCCTTGTGTTCCTATTGTGGGGTCCTACACCCCTGATGGAAGTTTTTAACTCTTTCTACTATGGGTTGGGTTACTTCCTCTTTCTCTCTAGTTATATATGATCATAGACCCCCAGAGCCGAAAAGGATCTTGGTTAGTGGTTCTGAACCTTTTGAGGTCATAGATCTCTTTAAGAATCTGATGAAAGCTATGTATGTTCTTGCTAGGGAAATGTGCAGGGGCATGTGCACACACACACACACACACACAGGTCATATGCCTCTTCAAGCCCACCTAGGGGCCCGATGCATCTCATACCTGCATTTCACAATGAGCACACTGAAGCCCAGAGAGAACTGACTTGTCCATGGCCGCAAAACAAGTGAGTGGCAGAGTCAGGACCATGACCCAGACAAACCCCCGACAAGTGGAAGTTTTGTTTCCAGAGGCAGCTTTGCCTTCCCCAAAGGCTGCCTGCAAAGGCCTGGCCATTCATTTATTCAACAAGAATTTTTTTGGGGGGGGGAGTTTGGGGTATTTATTACCTTAGCTTTTAATTGAGTTTATTTCATTGTAAGTTAATGTATTTTTAAAAATTTATTTTTATTGAGATACATTTGATGTGTAACGCTTATAAGGCTAATAAGGTGTACAATGCATCGATGTGGTATATTTATGTGTTGCCATATGATTACTGCTGCAGCCTCAGCCAACATTTCTGCAAGTCACAACATTATCATTTTTTGTTGTTGTTGTAGTGGGAACAATTAAGATTTAGTACCTTAGTCAAGAAGCATTTTTGAGCACCTGCTCTAAGCCGGGCATTGAGCTAGGAGCTGGAGATAAAGGCATGAAAGCAGACAGCCCCTGTTCTTGCCTTCAGAGGTGGTGTCAATCCAGCGGGACAGACAGAACAGAGCGCAAATGAATAGTTGCACGAATAAATGCATTACTGGAAACAGTACCATGGGAGAGAAGTAAGGGTGTCATGGGAGCCAATGGAGGGATCAGATTTCCACTGGGAAGGTGGGGGAAGTGCAAGCAGAAGGTAGGGAAGAGAAGCTTTCCCAGGGGGTGAGAACAGCACACTTGAAGGTCCTGAAATGAAGAGGTGTGAGCCCTTATAGGATCTGACAGAGGCTTTCTCTGGCTGCTCCTGGCTCTCCATGAACCCTGCCATCCACGGACTGTGGATATGGATAGGAAAGGATGAGGTGCAAAGCAAGGAGACCTGCCTGGAGTAGGCGGTTGTAGTCATCTGGGTAAGAGAGGGTGGTGGTTTAGGTTAGAGAGGCGGCTGGCCATGGGGAGGGCTTAGGGGGTGAGGCCGAGCCTGATTCAGGCAGAGAAAGGACAAGGCCAAGAGGAGGAGATGGGCTGGAGATGGGTGGGGGTGAAGCGGAGGTGTGTATGAACCTGACCCCTCATCTTCGGTGGCAGCTGCTAAGGCAGCATCAGGCACTCCTCCGTTTCGGTCTAGTATCTTATAAATATGAAGTGTTTCATAATGCAGAGAAGCCCACGAACTTTTCCCAAACCGAACACACCCATGTGCCCATGACCCAGCACTCAGCCAACAGTGGAGCATTACCAGCATCCAGAAGTCTTTCTACTTGCTCCCTCCCAGTTGCCAGTTCCTCTCTCTGAGGGTTCTCCTGACTTTTGACAACATAGATTTTCCCGTTGTAGAGCTTCTTACAAATGGAGTTATTTTGTGCCTGATTTCTTTTGCTCAACATTAAGGGTGTGAATTTCATCCATTGTCTCACACGTGCTTGTAGATGGTGCCTTCTTATTGCTGGGCAGTGCTCCACCAAGTGAAGATACACAGTTTATTTATCAATTCTGCTACTGACAGGCATTTGGGTTGTTTCCGGTTTGGGGCTATTGTGAATAGCTTTGCTATGAACATTTTTGGCCCTGTCTTTTGGTTCTGCTTTCAGTTGGGTAGATTCATCCCTCTCTTGTGATGGGTGTCTCTCTGGAAGACCCCAGCATCTCAAGAATCAGGGGCATCATTCTATAAAAGGAGCACTTCAGGCATTTTGGGGGATGAGGGACATCTTGGGGAAGGGGAGAGTCTCTAGCACCCTAATATGTCCCTTTGTAGTGACCCTTCTCATCTTTCCCTCCCTCTCAAGGTGGGGCTCAGGTGTAG